CTCTCCTCACAACAACCCTGTAAGGCAGGTTAGGCTGAGAGTGCGTGAAGGAAAGAAGAGGAGGAGATTGGATTTATACGACCCGAAGGAGTCTCCGAGCGGCTTACAACCCCTTTTCCCTGGCTCACACTAACTCAGCTTAGAAGGAACACTGCCTGTAAGGCAGGTGGGGCGGAGGGAGCTCTCTCAAGAACTGCCCTCGAGAGAACAACTGTGAGAGGACTTGTGAGTGACCCAAGGTCACCCCAGCAGCTGCATGTGGAGGAGTGGGGGATCAAACCCGGTTCTCCCAGATTAGAGTCCGCGCACTTCACCACTACACCAGAGTGGCTCTGAGTTTGGGCTGAGGTCTCCCAGTGAGCTTCCATGGCAGAGGAGGGAGCTGGACTTCAGTCCCCCACATCCTAGTCTGATGCTTGAACCACTAAAGCAGCAGGCGAGCAGCGGAATTAAACAAAATAATTGTTACCTCCCCAGCGGTCACCTTTGGATGATCAGACTCCCGAAAGTGCCGTTTAAAAACCATGGCCCAATAGAAGACTGAGGAACCAAAAGTTCTCCTACGCAAGATCTTTCTGCAAAGGCAGTGCCAACGGTTTATAAATGAATCCCCCGTCTGTACGTCCCCCACCCAGCCACCCATTTCAATATGCCAAAAAGCAAAGGGAAGTTGTTTTAGTACAAATAGGCTGCAGAAGAAGCCACTCTAGTGAATGAGAAAAATCCAGTTTGGCGGCCCACTCTTACGTGACCCCGTTCCTTTCAACAGGACTTGCACTCCGCGCTCCTGACCACGACACCAAACTGGCTCTGAGTTTGGGCTGAGGTCTCCCAGTGAGCTTCCATGGCAAAGGAGGGAGCTGGACTTCAGTCCCCCAGACCCTAGTCTGATGCTCTAACCACTAAAGCAGCAAGCGAGCAGCGGAATTAAACGAAATAATTGTCACCTCCCCAGCTGTCACCTTTGGATGGTCAGACTACCGAAAGCGCTGTTTAAAAACCATGGGCCAATAGAAGACTGAGGAACCAAAAGTTCACCTAGTCAAGATCTTTCTGCAAAGGCAGTGCCAGTTGTTTATAAATGAATCCCCCGTGTGTACATCCCCCCCACCCAGCCACCCATCTCAATAGGCCAAAAAGCAAAGGGAAGTTGTTTTAGTACAAATAGGCTGCAGAAGAAGCCACTCTAGTGAATGAGAAAAATCCAGTTTGGTGGCCCACTCTTACGTCACCCCGTTCCTTTCAACAGGACTTGCACGGGAGAAGAAGAGGAGGAGGAGGAGGAGGAGACTGGATTTGTACCCTGCCCTTCACTCAGAGGGGCTTTCAGTCTCCTTCCCCTTCCCCTCCCCACAACAGACACCCTGTGAGGTAGGTGGGGCTGAGAGAGTTCAAGAGAACAGCTCTGACAGAACGATGGCTTGCCCAAGGTCATCCAGCAGCTGCAAGTAGAGGAGTGGGGAATCAAACCTGGTCCTCCCAGATTAGAGTCCGCACGCTTAACCACTACGTCAAACTTGCTGGTGAATTGCATTCTGTGTATGGGACAAGGATCTGTCTCCTTTAAGGGCATCCAGATTCTACCTTCTGGAAGACAGTAAAAAGCCCAGTAGCACCTTTAAGACTAACATGAGCTTTCGAGAAACACAGCATGAGCTGTGTAGCATGAGCTTTTGAGAAACACAGCTCTCTTTGTCAGATGAACGGAGGGTATGAAGAAACTGGCCAGAGATGTACAGGTAGTAAGAGGAGGGTGCAGAAAGTGCCGCGTAAATGCAAAGCCGTTGCAAAAGCCATGAAGAAGGCTGAACGAGCAATCCAGGCTGGGTGCGACCCTTTCTTTCTATTGATGAATCTGAATGGGATGCCTGAGAGGCAGTGACTAGATACCCATCCAAAGTTTCTGTTCGATCCAAGCCGGACTGACTTCTGGAAGGGCTTTCTCTGCCCAGAAAAGGTTTCGGATCCCACGCTCTCCTACCTTATAAGAACATAAGAGATGCCAATGCTGGATCAGGTAAAAGGCCCACCCAGTCCAACACTCTGTATCACACAGTGGCCAGAAATACCAGGTGCCATCAGGAGGTCCACCAGTGGGGCCGGGACATTAGAAGCCATCCCACTGTTGACCCCCCCCCCCAAAGCACCAAGATGACAGAGCATCACTTGCCCCAGAGTCCCTATCTATACCTTGTGGCTAATAGCCACTGATGGACCTCTGCTCCATATGCTTATCTAATTCCCTTTTGAAGCCGTCCATGCTTGCAGCCGCCACCACAGGGAGAAAAGTACCTCTCTCTACCTGCTCTTTCCCATGCATAATCTTATAAACTTCAATCATGTCACCTCCCTCAGTCGTCGTTTCTCCAAGCAAAAGGGCCCGCCCTCTCTCACTGACCTTACTGATCTTCGCAGGGGGCGGCTGTGGGGCCGGCTGGGCGGGAGTCGGGGTCGACTGCGCCGAGGGCTGAGATGGATGTGGCGGCGGGGGCGGCGGCTGGGGCTGGGGGCCGTGGGTGGGGATCTGGTGGATCTGCCCCGGCGTCGTTACATTCACCATGTCGTTGGTCTGCACTTCGATCTTGTAGCCGGGCGGCAGGAAGGTGTTGAAGCCCATGATCAAGTCCGGGTGGCCCTTGAACAGCTGAGAGACGCGGCTGATCACGCCCGGGGTGTCGATGCTGGATGGGGAGGAAATGAGAAATGCTTACATTGCTGTTGTTCCACATGGGCGGGGGGTGGGGGGAATCACAGCGCTTCTTTTGAATGTTTTGAACGCTATCGTCAAAACGTTCACACCAAGGGAAATAGAAAAGGACCTAGCGTGTCACTGGAGCAAAATAAAATGCATACATACCCCATACATACATACATACCCCAGAGAGCACTACGGTCGGGGGCCCAACATCGATTAATGATTCCAGGCCCCAGGGAGGCCAGGCTTGTGGCAACCAGGGTCGGGGCCTTCTCAGTGGCGCCTCCTACCTGGTGGAACGAGCTCCCGGAGGAGATCAGGGCCCTGTGGGACCTCTCACAGTTCCGCAGGGCCTGCAAGACGGAGCTCTTCCGCCAGGCGTTCACTTAGGAGCCGCCGCCAATGGGAATATGGGGTATTGGGATGGCCCATTACAAGAGCGAGCCACAGTGCTTCGACTGACCGTACCGCTGAATCGGGCTTGGAGCTTCATCTACAGGCTACCATCTTGCTCTGACTGAATGCTTTAATAACACCGCTGAGCACTTTATTTTGATAACGGTTGTTTTGATATGTTTTAGGTATTCTACTGTTTTATATTGGCACATGGTGCCCGTTTTGTGAGCCGCCCTGAGCCCGTTTGCGGGGAGGGCGAGGTAGAATTATAATAAATAAATAAATAGATGTCCCATTATTGTTTCTTTGACTGCCATACAAAGCGCAAAATCAAGGTTAGCCGGCTCAGGGGTCTGTTTTCCAAAATATTTGTTTCTAGTCCTCATGGTAGGGCTTTCCCAATGTTCTTCATGGCTGCCTCCCCACTTCACACCCGCCCCCATAAGGACTGTTTTATTTTTGCCTGAATTCCAACACCCCCAAAGCCTTGTAGGAATGTGAAGTCTCCAATAATGAAAACAAAATTTGAACAAAACTTCCCAAGCACACTACTCGATTCCTGGCCTTTGCAAGCACTAGGGAAGGGGGCAGGTGTCGGGGGGGGGGGGGCGTAGGGGGTGTGTGCTATGTGGTTTGTGCTGCTAGAACTGAGCTGGGGAAACAGATCAAGGTTTGAAAAGGTTTGTTCAGGTCCAGAAAGCAAAGGAAAACGGCAGGAAACAGGCAAAATTTAGGGGCAAAAGGGGATTACAGGAGAAGCAAACCAAGAAACCAAGCAACTTTCAGGATAGGGAGGCAGTCGTCGTCGTTGTCTTTACTGTTTTTGCAACTGGAGTTATAAACAGCAAACCCTCATGACACAATAAACCTCGTTCCACAGGAAAACTTGGGAAGAATTTAAAGGTGTGCTACTGCAAAAGTGGGAGGCATAGTCAAGAAGCTCTTCCAAACAACCGATGCTCAACCGGCCTGCGAACAGCTACAAGGGGCCAGATTTGTCCCGGGTGGGCTTGGCTGAAAGATGGCAAATGAAACGTCTAGGGCGATTCCAGACCACGTGTGACATCAGCAGAAACCTTGAAAACAACATCACTATCAAAGCCCCGCCCACGGAGCCCGAGGGACCGCCCATCGGAGGCAAACAGGCAGGAAACTGTTACCTTTGAGATTTGAACTCCTTCATGATATCCAAGAAGTCGTTGTAGACTTGCGGCTGGCTACCGAACTGCAGCTTCACCTGGTCGAGGTAGGAGAGGGCGTCCTCCACCTAGAGGCAAGACAAGCGAGTTAAGAGACATCTCTCCTCCCTGCTGTGTTCTTCTGGCCCGTTCTTGCATTTGAACTCATTTGGAAATGAGGCTGGCAGGCTGAACTAGGAAGCTATTTATTTATTTATTTATTGTTTCAACTTACTACCCCGCTCTAATCCCTGAAGGGGTCTCTGAGCGGCTACAGTTACACATTATCCCTAACCTATGGCCACACTTTTTCGGGGGTGGGGACAATCCCTACCGGCACCCAGTGGAGGGATTTTTTTCTCTCTCTTGGGTCGTTTGTGTCGGCTTCCGCATCTCTCAGTTTCTCAGCGTCTCTCGGCCTCTGGCAATGATTCCAGGCCCCAGGGAGGCCAGGCTTGTGGCAACCAGGGCCAGGGCCTTCTCAGTGGTGGCTCCTACCTGGTGGAACGAGCTCCCAGAGATGATCAGCAATGATCAGTCCATTATCCCCCAGTAGCAATCTTACAGCATATATACAGATCCTCTTATGGAGAAGTGCAAGAGGTGCAGTTAGGTAAGACAGCAGCTCACTTGTGTTACTGGAGGAGCTGCAAAGGAATATGGAGGCTCAGAGCGATGAACTATTTTCACTTTAGCTAGACCACTGTTTCCGATGGATCCTTGCTGAGGGGGCCCTCAGTGGCCAACAGCGGAGCTATCAGCGGAAGGGCAGGGAGCCGCTAGAAACCACTCTGCTGTGCCTGAATCTAGCTCGGCTGAGAATCAACTCCCTGGGGGAACGTTTCGTATTGAACTTTTATCAGCACCTGAGAGCCACCTTGGAGGCTAACGTGGCCGAAAAGCAAGAGGAAAACACAGTTAAGTGAATATTTTTAAAAACAGGCTGTGTGTTTGGCCTGAGCAAATTCTCCTGTAGCAGTTCTGCTCTCTCCAGCTAGCCTGTATAGCCACAAGAGGTGTCTGTCTCCACATCCCCAAAACAGCGGTGGCCACAGGACTACGGAGCAGGCGGTTCAAGCGACCAGCAGCCTAAACTCCCTGGATTTAACATGCCACCATCTCAACTCTTGACAGCGAGATACAATATTGTTCCATCTAATTGTCGATTCTGCCCTTGCTCTGCTCACCTGACTGAAACACTGGTTCATGTGCTATTCCATTGCAGATGTTATGCACAGGCATGCTCGGATTTATTGGACCCAGTGGTGTTGGGAAGTGCTGTCAAGTTGCAGCTGACTTACAGTGACCTTGTAGTGTTTTCAAAGCAAGAGACGTTCAGTGGCGGTTTGTCACTGCCTATCTCTGCACCTTGGTATTCCTTGGTGGTCGCCCATCCAAATGCTTGGTGGCCACCCATCCAAATGCTAACCAAGGCCAACCTTGCTTAGCTTCTGAATTCTGATGAGATGGGGCTTGCCTGGGACATGAAGGTCAGGGGTACTGGAACTTGTGATGGTTGATTTAAAAAAAAAACTTGTTCTCTCTGAGCAAGACTCTCAAAATCTTACTGGTGTGGGGGGGTGTTAAACCAAAGAACTACTGTATCTGTGGCTAAGTTTCTGTTCTCTGTAATGAAACTATGGGCAGAGTTAATGTCCTCAGTATCATCTACTCAGATTCTATGCTCCCTGTAAGCTGTGGAGCCTTGTGAGCAAAAATTCTACTTTGTGAGCTGCTGGCATTAAGGCTGTGAGCAAGAGATTTGGCTACTGTATAAATCAGTTTGCTCTGGAGCCATCCTTCCTGAGCTAAAACAAAAAATGTGTGAGCCGGAGGCTAAGAAACTGAGCTGGCTCACACTAACTCAGCTTAGAGGGAACACTGCTCCGATTCTAACCCCTAAACTGTTAGTTATTTTAAGACAAATGAGATTGGACGGAGGTCATTCATTTCATAAAAGTAGTTTTCTATGGGCCGTAATAAAAACGGAACTGAACCAAACCCACAAATGTAAACCTTCAACAAGCAAGTTGCTGTGCGTACAGGCAATGTACTGGATCATGCCCTTTGCTATTGGGACAAGGGAACTTATGGTCTGTTTCAGCTGAGCTGAAAAAACGACTTCTGAGTTTTCCATTTCAGCTACAGCTGCGGGCGTCGTTTCCTTTGCCTGACAGTCAGATCTGCAAGATTTTTCCTGTGTTCACGGATGGAAACTTTTGTTCATCTCCAAGTCTAATGAGGGGGGAAACAACATTCCATGCCGTGATCCTGAGCCAAAAGAACTGCACGCAGAAAGCTGCTTCCAAGCTGCCATTTTGGGTTGTATCGGGAAGGGGGGGGGAGCCACTGTAATGACGTCGCTGCATCTCAAAATAGAAAGAGAGACACTCACAAAAACGCCTTCCGGTTTCTAAAGAACCAATCCTGCAAAACTCATTACTCGAGTTCCTAGATGTCCGGGCCTTGGGAATGCCTACAATTTAGCCAGCCGTGGAGATGACGGCTGTTGGTATCTGTATCCATGGAGATTCTACAACTCTGGTTCTACAAATAGTGACGTTAAATCATTGCTGCTGTAGGTGCCGTGCTGTTGCCAGGATTTTGCAAGTTGCTTTCTGAGCACCTTCGTGCCGAAAAGCAGCACATAACGTATTTAAAGGACTGTTATCTTTCAGAAGGCCTTAACTGTGCAACTCCCCGTTTTGCGCCGCTAAAGCCAAATCAGTTCTCCAGAGAAGGTGAGATATGCCCACTTCAGCCCTCCTACTCTTCCTATGGCAGGTCTCTATTCAGCTGCTCCGGTGCTTAGGGAGTGCTGGAGGCTGTCATTGCTACACATCTTCACAAAACGTTCCACGGAGAACAAAGCAGCCCTCGCTTCTGAGGGGACCTCAAGGGTTTCTCGGGGTTCATACCTATTCAAGACAGAGCATTTCCTCCCCTTCCTCAAACAATGAAACATTTAAGTGCCATAAATGCAGTTCTGCGTGACGGATGCATCACTTTGTAATGCTATTAATGGAAACACAAGGACCAATTTGCTTTTTTGCTCCATCACTGGAGAAGGGTTAGTGGGGGGAAGCCTTCCTTGTCTTATCTAGTGTACAAGTATTAACACAGAGCAAGTCAAGGATTTCATGGGACAAGAAGCTTCAAGTAGTTTGGGCCTGGTAATCGTTCACGCACACACACACACACACACAGCCATTTTGCAAGGTAAAAACCTTCTTTGGAGGTTTTTAAGCAGAGGCTAGATGGCCATCTGACAGCAATGCTGATTCTGCGAACTTAGGCAGATCACAAGAGGGCGGGCGGGCAGGGTTGCATCAGTGCTTAGTTCTCATGGCCCTTTCTTACACGCCCAGGGGAAATGCTGGTTGCCACTTTGGGTGCAGGAAGCATTTTTCTCCAGGCCAGTTTGGCCAGGGGTCCTGGAGGGTTTCTTTTTTGTTTTTTTGCCATCGTCTGCGCATGGAACAGGGGTGCGTTGGGGGGGAGGTATTTGTGAATTACCTGCACTGTGCAGGGGGTTGGACTAGATGACCCTGGAGGTCCCTTCCAACTCTGTGATTCTAATGCCCCATTCCAAGAGCAACAGCTACAGTACAATTCACAGCATTGCCAATTGGACTGCCATCATGGGTTGTGAAGATAAATTCTCTTAATTCCCTCTTTGCCCAATTTCTCCTTGAAATCCAGCAATCCTTTTCTTTCCCTCCTCTGGTTAGGAATCTGTCGTCAGTTTCTAAGCAACTCCACCTGGATTGAGAGAAACTCAAAGGGAGGAGAGGGGCAGGAAGGGAGCTTCCGCGAAACGTCAGAATTTCACTCTGTAGATGCTCAGATGTCTTCCCAAACCTTCCTATCGTCCTGCAAGAGCACCATCCTGTGGGTGTGTAACTTCTGCAAGGGCAGAAGTTAGAAAAGGGTGCATTCTTTTTTTAAAAAGACAGTAAGAGGAATCAAGGGCTATGCCAGAAGACAAGGACTTGGTGCTGTCCTTTTGCCTCAGCCTCCAGAGGAGGGTTTACAAGAGAGTCATATAGACAGACAGGCAAACTGTGAGGAATCCTTCCTGTTTACTCTTCTGTCGCTGTCCCTTTGACGTGCAGACTGATACATTAGAATCATAGAAATCACAAGAGCTGGAAGGGGACCTTCAGAGGCCATCTAGTCCAACCCCCCTGCTCAATGCAGGACCAGCCTAGAGCATCCCTGGCAAGTGTTTGTCCAGCTTAAAGACTGCCACTGAGGGGGAGCTCATCACCGGAGCAATTTCCTCTCTTCTAACCTCACACTTCCTCTCACTTTCACGCACAAAGAAGGAGCACGTTCACCTTTGAACAATGGAGGCAGGGGCACGCTTCCCAGCATCCAAACCCATCCTAGGTAGTTAGAATAGATTCTTTCTCTGCCTCTCATCTATACTGTCTAGAATGGAGTTCCATGGAATAAAGAACTCTTATTCACTTTAAATCTGACTACCGGCTCTGTGTAACTTTGTAAGTCCGCTAGCACACTCAGGATCTAAGCTTTGCTGCGTGGAAAGTCCGGTGCACTCTGCTACGTGGACAGAGATTCCCGGCTGTACAAAACCAGAGAATCCAACAGGCTGTATCTCAAAAAATGAACTTCGGGAAAAGAAATCCCCCTCCCCATAATGATACTACTGCCATCTCTGCTATGCAGGGGTGGGGGGGTTAGCTTTCGATAGGACAAGTTCTGCTTAGATTCAGGTGTTACCAAAAAATATCACTAAGCTAGCTGATTCTGAAGACCAGGCATGTGGTTCTGACACACGCAGTACCATGAGAACAAAATGGAAAAAATCCATGATAGAGCCAATGCTGAGTTCATCGGGGTTTTACCGAATCGATCAATGCAAAGGTTCTGGACCTTATTTCTTCTACCTCATCAACATCGCAGCTCATCTACTGGCAAAATCCCCCCAAAAAACACCACTTGGGAAATCTCTAAGTCTCGAGCGAAAGAGCGGCGCCACACCCTAGCTAAGACTACAAGGCTACCGCTCTCCATCCCAGAAACACTATTTGCAAGAGGTATTGTAGACAAAGGGCACCCTCTTCCTGCACTTCACATAGATACAGTCTACCAAAGGGTTCCTGTAACGATTCCTTGTTTCTGTGTGTGTGTGTGTGTGTGTCTCTTTAAAAGTTTGGTTGCATGGCTATGGTAGATAGACTAGAGTGGTTGAAAGGCAAGTGTGGTATGATTAGTGGTTGACAGAGAGGGGGAGGGGTTTTGGAAGTGAATCTGAATGGATGAGTATGTGTGTCAGTCAGTAGTTTCAGTTAGATGTTGACAGTTGATGTTCAGTTAGTAGTTAGACAAGCAGTTCTTGGGGAAGCAGTTATAAGCGGACAGCTGAGGTAGTTCAGTGAGAAACAGAAGGAAAGCTGAGTGTATAGGAAAAAGTAAATGAAGGTTTAATTGAAGACAAGTTATAGGAAAGGCTGTATGTCCTGATAAACTGGAGAGAAACAGTGAACATATATGACCTGGAGTTAAACAAGTGTTACAAAGTTACCTGAAAGATCCCTGTCAGTGGGGGATAAGATTGTGTGATACCAAAGTAATTGTTCATCATTTATACATTACTAGTTGCATTGTACAACCCTCTTATTTAGTAGTTATTTCAATAAATCCTCTTTCATCCAAGTTTATACCAGCTCTGAATGAAATACTTCCCAGGACCAAATAGATCCCTGTAAGCCTTGAACTCGGTCTACCAAATAAAAAAGAGCAATAGTAAAAGCATAAAGGTTTGGAAATCCTTACAATTTCCTGGTGGCAGCCGTATATACCCAGTAAAAGAAAATAAAGAACACTTTTAAAGGGAAAATAGTCCTCACCAATAAGGAGGACGTCACAGTTCAAAATAAAGTGTACCAAAGTTACTGCATTGAGCCAGAGAGTCAAGGCAACCTCTGCAATCTTGGAAGAGCATCCAGGAAGGCAAGGCAACACTTATTTTTATACTCATTCGGTGGACACCCAGTTAGTTGGCCTCCCTGTACAGAGCCTATAGAGACTGCCTTATATAAAAGCGGTCCGGACCATCCACCCTATGTGGAATTGGATGGGGCTCCAGTATCACCTATCCGGTTTTTATGGAGGGTCTGAATTATTGCTCGCCATCTTTAACTGTGTAACTGTTTTTTTTCTTCTGGTTTTAATACTTTTAATGTTTTGGAGTAACAGTGCCAATTGACTTTTATTGTTTTATGTCTTGATGTTACCCGCCCTCAGCCCATTTGGGGAGGGCGGGATACAAATTTTAAAAATAAACAAACAAACATACAAGCCAACAGTGTAATGCAGCACCCAAAAAGGCTAATGCGATTCTAGGCTGCATTAGCAAAAGTGTGGTGTTGAGGTCACGTGAGGTATCGGTGCCACTGTACTCTGCTTTGGTTAGACCTCTCCGGAGTTCTGTGTTCACTTTCGGGCACCACAGTTTAGGAAGGATGTCGATGAGCTGGAAGAGGTCCAGCGTAGGACGATGAAGCCGGTGAGGGGTTTGGAGACCATGTCCTATGAGGAGAGGCTGAAGGGGCTGGGAATCTCTACGTTGGCGAAGAGACACCTGCGAGGTGATCTGATTGCTACTTTCCGATACCTAAAGGGGGGGTATGTTTCGGTCATGCTGGATGAAAGGACTCAGACTAATCGATATAAACTACAGCAAAGGGGGTTTCGTATACATTTGAGGAAGAACTTCCTGACTGTGAGGGTTGTTCAACACCGGCTCAGTCTCCCTTAGGAGGTGGTGAATTCTTCGTCGTTGGAGGATTTTAAGGATCGACTGGATACCAACTTGTTGGGGGGTGTTATAGTTGTCGCTTCTGCACTGGCCAGGGGTTGGACTAGATGACCCTGGGGGGATCCCTCCAGACTCTGAGCTTAAATAAGTAAATCTTATGGACCTTACCTTAAGCCTTTGGAACTGCTGCTGCCCCTGCACGGGCGCTGCTGGGGGTGTTGGATGAGCATGCCCCTGCACCACCTGGCTTCCGTGGGGCTGGACTGGGGCGGTGTGATGATGCCCGCTGTGGACAGTGGCTAGTGCGGGGCCATGACTGCTAGAGCTCTGTGGCACCGTTGACACCTGAGAAAGAGAGTAAAACACCCACCATCATGTCTCTCTTCTGTGGCCAAAGGACATGACCTAGAGCAACTATAGTGACTTTGCAATCGAGCAGTTCGGGAGAAAAAAATGAAGTCTTGCTTGCCCTGAAATACTTGTACCAAAGAGGACATCTCTGAACCGTGCAATGTGCATCACTTGGCAGCCTCCATGCTTTTGTGCAGAAGCGGCACAGTATGTTTAAGCAGGTAACCGGCCTCAGCACCAACACTGTCCGGCAAGAACATGTCAAGCTCTGGAGCAGAAACTGCCAAACACAGGTCACGCAAAGCTCTCTTTGCTAAATTAAGACGGCCGAGACCATTTGTAGCCCTCCGTCACACCTCCCGGCCCTTTTTTGTCCTTCTTTGCATTCTGAATGAAAGCACAGAGCGACACTTTAAGATCCCAGACTATTACCAAAGTCAATATCTTTAAAAAGGAATTGGCCAGGAAACATCTAAAGAAACAGAATTTGAAGAGAGAATGCTTCAAGGGTCGAGCTGCAGCAAATGAAATTTCTATCGAAAGAAATGTATTTATTCCATAGTGTACACAACAATATAATTCAAAACAAAGGGCCTGAATATCAAGGTTACATTAGCAGTCCCTGAGGAAGGCCCTTGAGGCCGAATCGCATATGGTCTTGTGTTGGTCATTTGATATTTATCATCAACTTTGTGTTGGAAATTATAAAGCTTATATAAAGGTTATTCTTGATGAATCTTAATGTAGCCTGATGTTAAAAGGTAAAGGTTTCTCTCGCTCAAAAGCTAGTCAAATCCAACTCTAGGGGGCGCTGCTCATCTCCGTTTCCAAGCCAAAGAGCCAGCACTGTCCGAAGACTTATCCGTGGTCACGTGGCCGGCATGACTAAATGCTGAGGTGCACGGAATGCTGTTACCTTCCCACTGAAGCGGTACCTATTTATCTCCTTGCAATTCCTTGCTTTCGAACTGCTAGGCTGGCAGGAGCTGGGGCCAGAGGCGGGAGCTCACGCCGTCACACAGCACACTCGGGTCTTGAACTGCCGAGCTACCGACCTTCCGGTCTGCAGCTCAGAGTCTTAACCGCTGAGCCACCGTGGCCCTTAGCCTGATGTTAGGGAGGGAGAATCCCCAGTACATTTCAGGCTGAGTTAGCTCCCCCCTTCTCCTTCGTTTGAAACACAATTTGAATACAGAGAATGAAACCTGTACACGGAAACTGTCATTTGCCTATTACTAAAACGGGGGGGTGGGGGGGGGTTGGTTCTAGTTAAGTGACGAAGAGACAAAGGGAGCATTACAAGCTTACATCCTTGAAATCTTGTGGATCTCTAAGGTACTACTGGACTTGAATGTAGCTATAGCAAGAAGAATACCTGGTAGCTGGGAGTTACAGAGTACTGGATTCCAGTAGCAGATTGCATGGTCTCTGAAACAGACTCATAGACAGGAGGCGCCGGAGCAAGAACACGATGTTGGTGCTGGAAAGGTTCTGGGTTGCTGGCAATACGTCTTTGCTGCGACGCATATACCGGTGACTCCTGTTCATCCAATCGCCGCTTCATTCTGAACTCATGCTCAGGAAAGCACTACCAAACCTGCAGGAAAGAGCAACGGACAGACAGAGGCGATTAATCACTCCTCCTATCTCAGCGGTCAAAGCGTTGGGCAACCGTGAGACGGCAGATAAAAGTCAAGACGCTGGTTATCCATTTGAACTCCCGAGGAAACAGGTTAATGGGGGCTGAAATTAAGATTTATGGGTAAACCAACCTGCTGTGTCTCAGCTTTAGTGTGAGTTTCTCATGCTCATCCGTTCCTGTAAAGTTTCTCATTGGTGAAGCTATACTGAAGAACAACTATCGTAGAACATATTCAAGGTAACAATTTCTGCATGCGGCAGCCAGTAACTACAGCCATTTCACAGACATAGGTTCTGTGAAATACATTCTGGTATTGCAAGTATACTGTACTGAAGTAAAGGTAAAGGTTCCCTTGCTTGAAAGCCAGTCGAATCCGACTCTAGGGTTGTGGTGCTCATCTCAGTTTCAAAGCCGAAGAGCCAGCGCTGTCCGAAGACGTTTCCGTGGTCATGTGGCCGGCATGACTAAACACCAAGGCACACAGAACGCTGTTACCTTCCCACCAAAGTGGTACCTATTTATCTACTTGCAATTTTTTGCTTTCGAACTGCTAGGTTGGCAGGAGCTGGAACCAGAGATAGGAGCTCACTCCATCATGCAGCACCCGGGTCTCAAACTGCTGAACTACTGACCTTCCACAGGCTGCAGTTCAGCATCTTAACCACTTGAGCCACCTGGATGTCAACTAACACATCTTGCATGATGCTAGTGTGAAGAAAGGGAATGCTCCGTCTGGGGCAGTGATGCTTGGAGGGCAGTAGTTGGGAGGGCTTCTGGAGTTGTGGCCCCACCGGTGGACCTTCAGATGGCACCTTTGGTTTGGGCCACTGTGTGACACAGAGTGCTGGACTGGATGGGCCATTGGCCTGACCCAACATGGCTTCTCTTATGTTCTTATGGAGGATACTTTGGTTTGAACACAAGATCAACCTCAAATGTTCTGGATTCTGTCCTTCCCATACATCCAAGTGTCATTGGTGGACAGTTTAGGCTTGTAAATATACTTCAGATTTCAACTGCTGAAAGCACTTCACGCGCTTCGGGTCCTTTGTTTACGCTGTGATAGGTCATCACAATATAAAAGACTGTAAATAGTACATTATGAAGTACAACAACATTTTCAGTTCGTACTGCAGAGTCAGCTAGATGTTTAAAAAATCCAGGTAGCACAAGAAAGCGTCTAACTTGCTGGCTTAAAACGCAGCAGTCAGATCTGTGGATCACTAGTAGATATTTTTTTAAAAAGGCAACCGCTAAGGGACGAAGTCACAAGTTTTGACTCCTAGTTGATTGCCAGAACAATCCTAGACAGAGTTATACTCTTCAGAGTCCATTGACCTTTAACAGGAATGTTTGAAAGCTTATTCCCTGAAAAATCACACTGGTCTCTACTGGACTCAAATCTAACAGAGATGTGTAACTTTGCTTTGGAGTGCACTGCACAAGGCCCAGATATATCCCAAATAGACAAACAGGATTCTGCCCATCCCTGAAACAGGTGTCCATAGGTGTCCCCAGCCTCTTGATTTTTCTTGGGCACCCCATGGGAAGTGTGAAAGGTAACACCATCAAGCCAATCAACCCCTCTGCTGGTTTAGGCCTTAACAAAATGCTCTGCCTCACCAGCCCTAGAACCAGCCTGGGAACCAATGGTATGCAGACAGCCAGTTTGGTGTAGCGGTTAAGAGCGGCGGACTCTAAACTGGAGAACCGGGTTTGATTCCCCATTCTTCCACACGAAGCCAGCTGGGTGACCTTGGGTCAGTCACAGTTCTCTCAGAGCTGTTCTCTCAAGGGCAGTCCTTGAAAAAGCTCTCTCAGCCCCCACCTACCTCACAGGCAATGTTCCCTCTAAGCTGTGGAGTCTTGTGAGCAAAAACTCTACTTTTGTGAGCTACTGGCATTAAAGTTGTGAGCCAGCGATTTGGCTACTGCACAAATTAGTTTGCTTTGGAGTCATCCTTCCTCAGCTAAGACAGAAATGTGTGAGCCGGAGGCTAAATAAGCTAGCTCACAGGGTGCCTATTGTGGGGAGGGGAAGGAAAAGGAGACTGTAAGCTGCTCTGAGACTCTGAGTGAAGGGCGGGGTATAAAACTGAACAACAACTACTACTAACTACAACTACTTCTCCTTTTTCTCTGGCCACACAGAGATCCACCTCTTGCCTCTCTAGAGTGCCTGGCTATAAGTCAACCTAGACCTAGAAAATTAAACCAGAGATTCCTGCGCCTTTTAGTAAAGCAATACACCAAGGCCCACAACACATCTAACTGTATGAGAATCCCCATTCCCCACGTTGCCAGCTAAATAAAGGCTCCGAGTGTGTTTTTATGGCTCCTCTCCGCATAGCAGCCACTGTCATGCAACCAGACCACAACGATGACCCAGCTTTCTATTCTAAACTCATGTCTAGCCTTCTCAGCACAATAGAATACCAAGACTGATTTCTTCTTCTTTAAATATAACCTCTGCACACACGTACTGGTAAAACAAACACTGTGTGACCAAAACAACAACTTCTGAGCCGTTTATAGTTAGGCTAGAGCCACTTTAGAGCCTCTGTCTTGAATTAAATCATTTCACTTTTCCGTGAAGTTTATCTTCCATTGTTAGGCATTTCTCTTGCTTTCTGGACATAAAAATATGCACCCTTGTTATACACACACACAAAAAATTAAATTAAAAAAATCACAGTGTACAGGACTCAGGTAAGAAGAAGAGATTGGATTTATACCCCGCCCTTTACTACTCAAAGGTGTCTCAGAGCGGCTCACAAACTCCTTTCCCTTCCCCTCCCCACAACAGAAACCTTGTGAGGTAGGTGGGTCTGAGAGAGCTCTGACGGAAACTGCTCTTTTCAAGAACACCTCTGACAGAACTACGGCTTGCCCAAGGTCATCCAGCAGCTGCGAGTGGAGGAGTGGGGAATCAAACCCGGTTCTCCCAGATTAGAGTCTGTGCACTTAACCACTACACCAAACTGGTAACAGTCCGATCTATATGCAAGCAACAGAAATCCAGAGGATACTATGAAAGCAATGCCTTTGATTTCCATATAGAAAACCCCAAGCAAGTTAGCGCATGGAGACACTACCTACTGGATTTCAGACCACTGTTTAGGCACAACAGCACACAGGGATTGGAAAGAAGTGTGTGGGGGTGGGGGAAGTATAGCCTAAGAACATATCCCAGTCTGACAAAGTAAAGGTAATGCATATTCCAAAGCTGTGCATTTTCTACGTTGGCTTCAAGATTCACAAACGCTTCCCGAAGGCCGGATCAAATCCCAACAGCGATCAAGACAGAAAACTATTCATAAATCCTGGAAGCCAGGCTGTTTCGAGCGCCAGTTTCAACATGATCCTCTTCATTCCAGAATTTAATGTATTCTGTGAGGCCCATAAGGAACGCTTCGCGATCCAACTTTTTTTTTTAAAAAAAGAAAAGAAACAGGAAGCAAAAGTTAACGCTCACGTTCGGGCTAACCCAGAAATCAGCCGTTGTGGCACCAAAGGTTACCGCAGAATAATCAAAGGCATGACTGCCACTCATTCAAGAAGGTAGAACGAGAGATACTGCTGGACACTCCGGTCTCCTCCACAGAACATAGCACCTTTCATCAATTTCAGCTGATTCGTGCGCTACAGCCATAGCTCAAATGGCATGACCTGGCTACTGGCATTAGAGCTGTGAGCGAGCGATTTGGCGGCTGCATACATTAGTTTGCTCTGGAGCCCTCCTTCCTGAGCTAAGACAAAAACGCGTGAGCCGGAGGCTAAAAAACTGTGAGCTGGCTCACACTAACTCAGCTTGGAGGGAACACTGCCGCTAGGCCATAGACCAGACTGTGGGTCTTCGCCTGATGGGCCATTTGAGGATGGAAGGTATTCAGCAGGGGAGGCCAACAGGTGGAATAATAGGACACCTGCTGCTTCACCCAAAAAGGCCTGGCGGAACAGCTCCATTTTACAGGCCCTGCAGAACTGTAATAGGTCCCACTCCACCGTAATAGGAATACCCACACCACTGATGCTTGCTCAGTATCACCTTTAGAGACTAGACCAAGATCTTTCTTTTTATCCAAGCATTTAACTGAGGGGTTCCTTCCAACTATTGTAGCTGTTACGGGGTTTTTTAATGGATATCGCTTCAGGGTGCTTAAAAGCTGTGGTTTGCTGTTTATAGTGACAATTCTTATGTTATTTTTTAAAAAAAACTGTTTTACGCTGTATGCCACCTCAAGCAGGTCTCTGGGGAGGTGGTGCATATACATTTTCTAAATAATAATAATAAATAACCAAGATTCCACCGACACGGGTGGCGGGTTGCCAATGACAACCACAAACCTCTTCCTGGGGAACTGGATTTGCAGACGTGCACAATGCAACTGATGCACACACGTTTCCCTGAAACCACTTGTCGAAATGCCAGTACAGCAGGGACGTTTTTCATTCCGTGAGTCCAATTATGCAAGTTTAAGTGCACTGATTCAGACATGCATCTTTCTGCAAAAGGGCTGTGAACAGAGCAAGCTACTTCCAAGCGTCTGCATACCTTGGGTCTGGGGAAAGAGAGACCTTTAAAACTCTGCATTTTATAGCTTTTGGGATTGGGCTGTACAAGAACAGCAGGCGGAGGCACAGAGCGGAAGGAAGATTTAAAACCTAGAGTTTATGCCAGAGCAGCAATAGGCGTTCCTCCCTGCTTCCCTGATGGTACAATCCTATACATGTTTGTGGAGAAGACCTACTGAGTTCAGTTGGGCTGACTCACGGGTTAATGTGCGGAGGTCTGTAGCCTAGGCTAGGAAGTAAGCCCCGTTGAACTCAGTGTGCTTTTATTTCTGAGCAAACATGCTCAGAGGACTGCACTCCAAATCTTCTAGAAGCACAAATTGCATCCCTTTCCAGCAGAGGACATGGATACACAAGTGAAGCTGC